TCTGTCAGTCACGTAGGGGTACGGTCTGAAGCAGAGGATGGTAGGCTACAGACCGACAGTTTAAAAGCACATCTGTTTTTATTTGTCTTTATTTTTTTTTCCTAAGGATTGTTTAATTTTGTCTGCTTAATACTTGTTGCTCTTCTGTATTTAATTTCAACTTCAGAAGTGAAAAGTGATTGGGACTTAACTTGAAGCAACTGTAAAGATGTGCCCTCGAACTATTTTAAAAGTTTAAACATAGAAAAATTTTAGACAATTGTTGAATTTAAGGAATGTGAGGACTTAAGATAGGAAAAATTCTGCAAAAGCCTATTTGTCAACATTGAGATAGATGAAAAGCTGGAAAGCACTCCTGTTTCCCTGACTTTCAGGAGTGACTTGAAATTCGGATGAGAGGCGCTTATTTAGGCTAAAAGTTGGTAGGATCCTGTGGAAGAATGAGAAATTCATTTGTTTAAAGAAAACAGTTTTAAAACTATTCTTCCAGATGTTGACAATAACTGGGATGTTCCCCACGTACATTTTTGAAGTGTCTGAAGAAAGTAGATAGAAAATGAGCGCAATAACGAGTTTTTTCCAGTGCAGTTTCACAGTACAATCCAATGGGACCCGGGTTTGCTGCTGAAATGGGCAGTCCTGCTCTTTCCCCTTCCCGGGCTATGAATTTTCAGCATCTCACCTGCCATTGGAGAGAATGATCACGTCAATGTGTGGCAAGTTGGATCCAAATGAAAACTGTTCCTTAAAATTTTATTTGTCCAAGGTGATTTGACTCACTTTGCAGAAGCATGTTCATTAGCTAACAGGTGATGAAGTAGTGTGGTGGGTTGACGTTGGCTGGACACCAGGTGCCCACCAAAGCTGCTCTATCGCTCTCCTTTCCTCAGCAAGACAGGGGAGAGAAAATACAATGAAAGGCTCGTGGGTCGAGATAAGGACAGGGAGAGATCACTCAGCAATTACTGTCACAGGCAAAACTCTGCTCGGGTAAATGAATTTATTGCCAGTCAGGTCAGAGTAGGGTAATGAGAAATAAACCCCAAATCTTAAAACACCTTCCCCTCACCCTTCCCTTCTTCCCAGGCTCAACTTCACTCCTGATTTTCTCTACCTCCTCCCCTTGAGCACTGCAGTGGGATTGGGAATGGGGGCTGCGGTCAGTTCGTCTGCTGCTCCTTCCTCCTCACACTTTTCCCCTGCTCCAGTGTGGGGTCCCTCCCATGGCAGACAGTCCTCCCCAAACTCCTCCAGTGCAGGTCCTTTCCATGGGCTGCAGTCCTTCAGGAACAGACTGCTCCAGTGTGGACTGTCCAGGGGGTTGCAGCCTCCTCCAGGTATCCACTTGATCTGGCAGGGGGGTATCTGCTCCACCATCAACCTCCATGGGCTGCAGGGGACCACCTGCCTCACCGTGGTCTGCACCAGGGGCTGTGGGGGAATCTCTGCTCCAGCACCACCTCCTCCTCCTTCTTCACTGACCTTGGTGTTGGCAGAGCTGTTTCTCTCACGTATTCTCACTCCTCTCTCCCAGCTGCTGTTGCACAGTGGTTGTTTTCCCCCATCTTAAGTACATTATCCCAGAGGTGCTATCGCCGTCGCTGATGGGCTTGGCCTTGGCCAGCGGCGGGGGCGTGTTTTGGCGCGGGGGGC